CTGAACCTTTTTTTGACTTTTGTGTATTTCTATGTACCCTTGGGACTCTTATTTGCAGGATGAGGGTATGAAATTTTACTCTTACTTGACTCTTACCTCTTCACTTTGAAACCACAGCTGTTTTATTGTGTTTTGTGTTTTAAAGCAACAGCAAGCCCTATAGCAAGCACTATTTTCAAAAAACAGTTTGAAAGTTACTTTCAAAAGTCTTGTCAAATGGGACCTTTCATGAAAAACTGACAGATATATGGTACAGTCTTGGTAGACCAAACAGAAATTAGCAACTCTCCGATTTCATATTTTTCATTAAAAACACAACCTAGTTAAATGCACTACTTGTTGTAAGATGGAACAGGGGAAAAAAACAAACAGTACTTTATTTTATTTAGGGTATCATAAGCAGGAAGGACTGAAGCCAACATTTTAATTAGATATTTCTGAAGTTAGTTAAATTACTATGCAATGCAGAGACAGGACTTAGGTGCCTTACTTCTAAAGATAATATTAACAGGTTGACAATTTCATGTAGATAATACATTAAAACTAGACTTTAAAAACTGCTTTAGAGGACCAAAAAAAAAGTACAAGAGCTTGGGTTTGGCCTTCTCACTGGTAAGTCATTTATTTTTCCTATTTTGCTTCAATTAAGAAGAGGAAGAGATACAGATAACGCATCCCATAATCTCATAAAAAGACAACTGTGTGTGTTGCTTTAGGAACCATGCACATGTTGACTGAAATGAATAAAGACAAAGAAGCCAGGACAACCTACTTTATTTCATGCCACAAAAAATGATCTAGACAAGCAGATGGCAGGTTTATCCTATGACAAACTGGAAGTTACATAAGGAAAGAGACCTGCAGTATCAAAGCTAGAATCCATGTGGATGGAAGCAGCCACTCTATTCAGCAGACCAGCTGTACAGCTGTAACAAAGCTCCTCTTCCTTGGAGATAAGCATACTATGAAATGGGCTATAAAGTCTCTTTACAAGCTCTTTGAGAAGCTCAGCTTTTGTTTTCATGTATTTTTTTCATTTCACACGTTAAAACACACTCTGCTATTCCCCTCTGTGATAGGGGGAGGCCGATAAATTCTCTAAATGGAAGACTATTCACAAATTTAACACCACACTATTAGTTCAAAAGAGAAGTGTATTAAAGCAAATATTATTTTGAGTTTTCATTCAATTATTTCTGTGCTTTTAACTGAGGATTAAGCTACTCGTATTACAGTGATTTGCTTTTCAGCCATTACCTTTAGGAAAATCACAAGATCAGAAAAGCAAAAGCAGTTAAGAAGATAAAAAGAGGGGATGAAGAACTTGCTCTACTTGTTCTTACTTACTTTTCCACCATTCCTTTCTGCTTGAGAATGCGATACACTTCTGCAGAAGTCTGTGGTCCTTGCAGTTTCTGTCCATTCAGCATTTCTTGCTCCAATTCTTCAATAGACTAAACAACAGAGGGACAAAAAAAAGGTAGAAAGGGAGAGCTATGCTAGTTTTCATAAACCTGACATCATAATCTGGATGGAAAAAAGGTGTTACTGAGGGGGCTTTTTTTTTTCCTATCTCAAAAGCCAAACTGGGGAAAAGGCTGTGCACTGAGTGAGCAAATATAATAGTCTCTCATATTCCTCCTTGTAAATAGTCTCCTTCTTACATCTGAATCTCCCAGCCAAATCTCCCAGATCTCCCATTCTTCCAGCTCTGTCTCTCTCTCTTTTTT